TATATACTACAGGCCAGCAGATCTTCCTTCAACTAAAAAACAACAGACAGCAGATTAATCATTAAAGACTGGAGCAGTCCTCCTTTGGCACATAGACGACAACTGACCTGAACTAACAACTAAACAGCCCAACTCTCCTTTCTAAATACCCCTCCCTGCACATCCACGTCCTGTTAGAGTTAGGCTCGGTTCAGCTGTGTACAACCCTTGGTTGTCTGTGAGAGCAAACCCGGCCATGTAGCCTGCAGTCTATTTTAGACGTTATCGAGTGAGCCCTGTCAGCTATACTGGGAAGGAAACATCCTTCAAGTGCCCTGACTGGAAACGTGATGTGTCCTGTTGCACTTTAGGGAACCCCCCTCCTTCTGCCAGCAAGAAGGGGCTCCAATAACACAGATGTAACCGGTGCAGTTGACATGTAAATAATCTTAGTAGTAATTTAACTACCATTTATTACTAATGCAATGCAGTATATAACTTATGTAGTACCATGTGAGTAACCGATATATAACTGCAGGTAGCTTCAGTAACCGGTGGCTTTTGGTGCTAATGCTAACAAGCTGCTGCTATCCGCTCACCTTTACCACGAACACAGCCAGCTATATTAAATCCTCCGAATCAAAGTGAAGTGTCTCAGTTTCTTTGCTCCTCAGTGTCCCAAGTCATTCTTCTCTTTCGCTTTTGTTAAGTCTGCCTCGCCGCTGGCTCAGTGTGTTCAAACTACAAACACACACATACATACACACACAGTGCAGGACAGTCCGTCAGCTGCTCCACTTAATGTCCCCGCCCACTTCACAGTCTGCGTGTTCTGATTGGACAAAAGGGAGGATTTGTTTTTTTAACGCGATTTGATTGGCTGCAATGGTAGCAAGTTCAGGTGTTTTCTCTCAGTCAAGAACAATCGACTATCGATTTGTTGCTGAATCCCTAAAGTGACATTAAGGACACTTGTTACAGTTCATTGAGCATTTAACACCACAGATTGGTTAGATTTTAAAATAAGTTTCTAAAATAGAGCCTAAGGGTTCTTTAAAAGTCTGCTTTGTTTTTTTATTAATCATTATTCGATTTCTTTTTCCTGTTTGCAACGGCGTAATTAAAGTTATCTACCAGGAGATGGCACTACATGACATTTTGTTTTTATTTACAAACATGGATTTACAAAAAGGACACCCGTGATTGCTATTCTCCTTCCATATTTCACCATCTTTAAAATTACATTAAAAAATGAATACTCCTATCCACTCTTTTGATTTGGCTTTTGCTGTAGTTTCCCTTTTTTATTTCCATATAAGCTGTGTGCATTTCATGTCTATTGTCTATTATTGGTTTTATTTGTGCTTATTATAATGTAATTAAGAATTATCCAGTATTTTAGTCAGTGAGGCGTGGAGAAATAAATAGGTAGATATTTTAAAACTATAATGTCTGCGAGAATATACAGTGTTCATTCAAGTGTAATTTTAGAAATAGAGATGGCACCCCATCTGCCAAGGCTGAGTCCTTAAAAAAAAAAAGAACTGAAATTCTTAAACATTTAAGGTGCTGAATCCTGTCATCTGTGTAATCTGATTTTCTTTAGGATTCGGTGTTTGCCTGGCAACTATGTTTAATCACATGATCCCAAATTCCACAATATGATTAGCTCATAGAGTACAGGCAAATGTAGTTAGAGTTGTTACTGCTCAAAACAACCCTCTCCCTGTCAGAAAAAACTGTGATAGCCTGCCTCGAAGTCTGGGATTTGGGTGTAATACTTTCTTCCAGTTTTACTCTGTGAAACAGCAATATATGATGATATATGATTGAGCAGAACACAACAGAAGTTTAGCTTTTTGCTCACATGTGTACAGTGCAACCTGACCTCAGGAGCAAAGGGAAATAGACAAGAACAGGAAACATTAAAGTTTGGAATAGGGGGGCCCAGACTTAAAAGGAAGGAGAGTAGATAATTAAAGGACCTAAAGAGAGAAAAGCAACTGTACTCGGGGGGGAAAGTGAGATTAAAGTTCTGGGAATGAGAGTAGATACCACATTGTGGGAAAAGAAGGAAATGGGGGCTATAATTGCTTAACTGCAGCTGCATTGAAGCAGTTATGTAAATGGCCCTCGATTAGTAGATTAACGTAATCCAGTTTATAAGGATAAGCCGGACCCTTATGGTATTGGTCTTTCACATACACACCTTCAATCTATATTAGGCAATCTGTCTTTTAAATGGGCTTAGACACACATGCGCTCCCAGACGCAACTCCCATCCAAATTAGGCAAAGCAGCTCAAGACAGATATTTGTAATAATGAGCTTCTTATTTGTCCAAATCTTTTGACTATGTAGATCTCCCTGCAGATTTGTCAAGGCCACTCTAGCCCTGCCTGAGAGTCACAGTCAACACATGCAGGTTTTCACCATGTGGTCATTACTTTGGTGATTGAAAATTGAAACAAGCTGGTCTTTTTACTTTGGTCTGATTGTTTTCTTAGTCCCCTCAAGGCAGTAATGTGATTGAGACAATATCAGTCCAAAATGAACCCCCACTTCCTCTCCCTCTGTGTCTAGGTAACAGGTCCCTGTATATACAGTACAGGCCCCACCTACGGCATTGCCAGTGACTCTCACAGGAGGGGAGACCTGAGGAGGAGGAGAGGAGGTATGGTCAGTAACCATAGCAACCAGACGGGTTATGTGAGAACGGACGTTGACTGGAGTGAAGATGAGTATTTCCATCGTAAATGCAGCCCAGAAGCTGTTCTGACCTTTGAAGTTTGTCTCTGAAGGGAATTGATCTGTGATGCCGGATGGACTGCAGCCAGCTGAATCTTTTTCAATTTTCAAGACCTATGGGACTTTTTAATTGCACATCATGTATTCTATAAACATCACACTAGCTTGTTTCCGTTATGATACTAATATAACAACAGATAGACAGATAACAACATGTTATCATACAGATTTGACTTTGAGGAAATTATCAGACAGGGAGTTAATCCAACTCTCGTAAAGTTGGAGCCACTGTGTAATCGTCTTAGAACATGAGCCATCTTTTATTAAACCTATTATTATAAACTCTTATAAATTGTTATGCTTAATCATTGGCACTTCCTGCACACTTTTTAAGTGGTGAAAGCTCAGCTCGTTCCTGTGGCTTACGTCCCTTCTTCAGTTGCCAGCCCTCTATGTATTGATCTGTTGCTATTTGAAGGTCTGAGTGGAAAAGAGGCAGAGAAAGGTAATACCAGTAAAAGACAGCAAAACAAAATCATGGTATGCATAGTGGCTTTTAGTCACAACCCTTTAGCTCTGGGCTTGGGTTCTTTTTTAAATTGGCTGTGTTTTGTCTTTAAGGGGTTCCCCAGTGATTTAGTATTGCACTTCTATACAGCTGGTGGACACTGAAGGATCAGCCAATATATCCTGACTTTTAGTCCCTATTATGACTCAAGCACCAAAAATGCTGAATCCTACATCTCTCATAGCACAACTCAATAGTGTATTTAGACACTCAATTCCCTGCCTCCTAAATGTTCTTTTAAACCCCACACCTCCAGTTTGTAACACAGACTTTCTGTTAATTTTTGTTTCTCAAGCCCAGATACTCTTGACGGCATCATCAGAATACATTTTAAACTTTGGAAAGTTCCCTCCAGACCCACAGAATACATCACACTAAAGACTGTGTATTTTTCCTGTCGATGACTAAACTTAACTTCAACGTCAGTGTAAAATTGGTGGCGTGCCCCATTAATAAGATATTAAGTTAATGTCCTGAAAATGTCACAAAGCAGGGATAGAAAGCATTTAATTTTATGTGGAATGTGGTCACAGACACTTTACCACTGACTACAATATCGTTATGTGACTATTTAAATATATAATATATTCTTTATTTACAGTTTGAGCAACAGCTAGGTCTAGAGAAGTCTCCTTGTTGAGTCATAGTATTTGTACTGTGGCAACAATAAACAACTTTTATTATGATTCTGGGTGTTGGCAGTAATGGTTCATTTCTGAAGCAAAGTATTGGACTCTATAATGGAACATTTAACAACAGCATTTCCTTTAAACACTCGTATCTTACCCAGAAGGTCAGAAACACAGTAAAATCCCTGTTCCTGTGTTTAAAAAGCTTTTACAAATCAAACAAACTTCAAAGACCGTTCAGTTTCCTCTGTTATACATGATGTTGTCATCCTGTTATGTTCATGTTATGAATTAAGTTTTTTGGGGGAGGACCATGGAACATCAGACTCAGGCAGATTATTTAGTGACTAACAGCGGTGACTCATGCCCGAGAAGCCTAATTGCCTTCATATGAAAGTGTTACGTCAACAAAAGCACTCCAGACTGGAGACTTGGGGTTACATTGTAGAAATTAGGTCAGTTTGGTGGCTGGCTTTGGAAATGGACGCCTCTAATAGGTGTCTAATGTTTTCGATGGAGGATTAGCTATATAGGCCTCATTTGATTCTCTGGTCCCTTCTGAATACCATAGGCCATTTTGAAAGCTGAAAGCTATATTAAGTTGAACCTGCCAGCGGTCATGAATATGTTAAGCTTATTATGGACAGCTCTCATGGATATGCAGAAAAGCTAAGATGATTATGTTAAGTTGATAAAAACGGTGACTCCTCACATTACCGTGGGACTCATAACCGGGCTGAAGAGATGGAAATAGGCTGACTATCAACCGCTATCACTGCTAATGAGTGAGACTGTTTCTTTCATCCAATCAGTACACCTTCTCTTAGGAGCATAACACCTACACCATCACTTTTACACCATACTGTAACCTGATTACATGGTGGGTTGTTCTTTTATCTGAGGATGAGATATCACAAGGCCTAATCACAGGGTTTACTTTATCTTCTTTCCGTGAAATCTGCTGTTGTTCTTTGAGAAGGAGCACGGTACAAAAACAGACTCACAGCATACCATATTGTGGAAAACAGTAAAAATACCTCAGGCAAAACAATTAACAGAAACACTCATTAAAGCTCCCTGACACACATTCTCTCTCTGAGTCAATCCTTCACCAAAACAAAGCGGGACACACATCCCTCCCTCTCCTCATCTCTCTCTCTCTCTCTCTGCCTGCAGCCACAGTGTTTTTTCACTTTATCACTCTATCTGGGTGTCTGTTTGCTGGCCTCAGCAGGAATTTGAATAGAGAGAAGTGTAATACTCCAAGCTCGCCCCCTTTGCTCGTCTGCTCTGCACTCAAAACTGTTACCACACATATAAAGAGAGCAAGCCTATACAACATGGAAAAAACACCCACTGCAGGAGAGGACAATTGAAACTCATCCCTGTGTGCTCTTCTTCTTCTGCTTCCTATGGCCTACGTTGCCCTGCAGCAATAGGCTGCATATGCTGCAGCCACAGAAAGCTGTGATCATGTGTGTGGTGCTGCTCGTGAATGGCAGACAGACAGGCGCAGTGAGGAGAGGCAGAGACAGGCAGCTGTGCGTAAGTAATGTATCCTCCAGAATCTGGGTCACACTCACGCCACTTTCATATTGTCAGATTATTTCACCTAGTTTCATGATTTGGCGAGTCATATTGTCCTAGATAGATATATTGAATTAGGAGCCCTGCGGTACCTGTAATTGAAGCTTTCCAGTTACAATGCATCACTCTTATTGAATAAGATACAGACTGTAGGGATGCTTGATAATGATGATGATAGTTATTAACCTTTAATAATAGCTTTAATTTACTTGTAAAGCATTGATTTTAAAATAATGCCTGCTGGTGAGAGGCACAGCGGCTCTTATGAAATACACCATCATGTAAACACAACACGTTTAGGCACAAACAAGTAAACAATGCAAGATACAAGAGTACTAATAACATATTCACTGTTATAGAATAAAGGTAATTATTTGATTAAAATCTTATTTCTATTTTGTTGGTCGAGTTCAACTTAATTATCTTCTTAGACAATAACAGCAACATGTCTTTAAAATACTGAAGACACACTTGACATCAAATGAAGTATCTTCTCTTTTCTGCGGGTACCTGTCTCCACCACCGTGCCCTCTGACGACGTACGTTTCTCCCGCACCGGCGGCGTGTTCACGCATTAACTGCGCGCGGTGTCATTCTTGAACACGCAGTCAGGTGTCGCGCTTCTATCACGCTACCGGCGACGCCCGCCCGGCTTCCC